ATCAGGAAAATGGAAATTCGCTTCGTCTGCAGGTTTGCTGCGGCGGGGGTATAACATCATCTGGCCGCTTTACCCGGCTAAAAGCAACATAAAGTCGACCATGGGTAAACGCTGTTTTTTCCCTTCAAATAAATGCCATTAATTCTAGTCCGATTTTGATTAAATTTGGTTTAAAGGTGTAAGACAGGATAAAATTGAATGAGTTCGCGAACCAGCATGATCGGACCACATGGGACAAGGGGTTTTACAGGGGGTTTTATGGGATAAAATATGGGTTTTCTCATTTTTGACCCTCAAAACACAAAATTTCCCATTTTCTCTCTAGACCTTATTAAAGTGAAGCTTAAAAAAACAAATAATTCAGTATATCAAAGTGTTTTTGTACGATTAATTATTGGCAATGGAGAAAATTCAAAAAAATTTTAATTCCTGTTATTCTTATGGAGAATATTGTAAAATGTTGTAGTTTGCTTGTTTTTTTTTTTTTTTTGTCCTAGGACGCTAGGCACGAGCCTGGGATTATTTTTCACATTACTTCAGGCTAGACCTAGGGGTTGCGGCATTATCACTTAGATAAAATCCAGTGGTGATTTGGCGGGGATCAAACCCGGGACCTCAGGGACCGAAGTCCCGCGCTCTAACCACTACGCCAGCTCGCTCCCGTAGTTTGCTTGTTTATGGATATATTTTGATCAAACTTGGCAAATTTATTTATTTTATACTAAGCTAGTAATATTTTACAAAAAATACACTTTATTAGTTTCCTTGTACCAGCAAACCTAGGTACTCGTTAAACCTAATATAATTTAAATAGATTAATAATTGAAAATCAATTCAGACAAATGGAAATTTGCTTAGTTGGCACTGTTGGCAGGTTTGCTGTGGCGGGGGTATTGATAGGTCTGAAGGTTTCTTCAAATGGCAGATATAGTTTATTACCGTGGGTAATCGTTTAAAAAAAACATGAACTGATTTACTTTTTCATTTTAATGTCCCCAGAGGCCAAAAACACTATTCGTTCAAATTTATATATATGTATATAAATAAATAAATATATATATACTAGCTGACCCGGCGAACTTCGTATCACCTAAGTTATAGGTTTCCCCTAAGACAGACCGATGGAAAAAAAGTACCGTTACGTTTAATTTTCAAGATGATCTCGTTCGCATCGCTCAATCACGTCCTGGTTGAAGTTCGTTCGCTACGCTCACTCACCTTTGGGTTGGAGATCGTTCGCTACGCTCACTCACCTTTAGGTTGGAGCTCGTTCGCTGTGCTCACTTGCCTTCAGGTTAGCTCGTTCGCTACGCTCACTCGCCTCCAGGTTGAAGTTCGTTCGCTACGCTCACTCACCTTTTGGTTGCAAATTAGCTGTTGTCATAAATGTAAAAGAAATAATAGTGCTGCACCCTGTTGGTAATCCTTGTAACTTTAATGCTATTGAACATCATACAACAGAACCAACTTGTTTAATTGAAACAGCTGTTAAGATTCATTAATTCCATTTCTCATAAGGTTAACATGGGAAACTCCAGAGCCACTGGGGCGGAGCCCTTTTAAGAATTTCGAAACGGGAAATAGTTTACGTCCGATTCGCATACCTACAGAATTTACACACCAAATTTCATAACGATCGGTGAAGTCGTTCCGGAGGAGTTTGCAGACAAACACTGTGACACGAGAATTTTATATATTAGATAGATATATGTGTGTGTTTGTGGGTTGGTGTGTCTGTATGTGTGGGTGCATGTGTACAAAGACAGAGCTACAGACCACACCTGTAGTCCGATTTTGATGAAATTTGGTATTTAGGTACTTCTCCATTGTATCTCCAGGCGTTATTTAATTTTTTTGAAATTTTGATTTTCAATGACAATTTTTCCATAAAATAACAGAAAAACCAGATTTTCTCAAAATCAAAAATGGCCCGAACAATTTTGATAAAAGTTTAGTATGTTATAGTCCTTTGAATTCCAAACAAAATTGTACAAATCCTATCTCCGTATAAGTTCCAAAGTGATTGTAACTTATATTATTTTCCTATAAAAAGCCCCCATAAAATAAAAAAAATCTGATTTTGGAAAAAGCTAGTTTTGATTAAAATTAGTATGCTCTGGTCCTTTATATTCTGAACAAAATGGTAGAAATCCCATTTCCGTAAAATAATATGGTTCAAAAGCTATTGTAACTTATGTTATTTTCCCATAAAAAATACCATAAAATAAAAATAAATCGGATTTTAGGAAAAAAGCCGGTTTTGATTAAGGTTAATGTGTTATGGTCCTTATAGTTCTTTAAAATAGTGCAACCCTCCATTGCTGTAACAATTACGGTTCAGAAGTTGTTGCAACTTTTGTGATTTTCCCTATAAAATATTATAGTATAGGTACACTCGCCACTTACCCATGATAAAGGGTGTTGACAAGCTTATGGGAGATAGTATGTGTCAGATTACTGATACCGTTTATTTATGATTTTGTTGCTAACCAAACATACATTGTTAGTGAGTGTTAGTTACAGATTGCATTATATAATTTAGAAGTTAGGTGAATTTTTGCATTTGCTTGCAGAATAACTTGATGCTTTGTACACTGTATTTTGTTGTCAATAATTTCTATGCTGTTTTTTTTGTGTTTTTTTGCTTTTTTCTATTTAATTTCATACTAGGAAACGTTATCAGAACGATAAATCAAATGGCAATCTCAGATATTTTATCTGTCTTCCTCAACCTTTTGAAGTTGTAGACAACGTTAGTTGAAGATTCGTCCAGTTTAGTTCATAGATGATCATGGCAAGTGCGGCGTTATAAGAGCGAATGTGTTCAAGGTAGTTTTGTGGTTTCTTGCAAACAGTAGCATTCGAATGCTGAAGGTTTTCGATTAGCTCTTGAATGAATGGTGACGGTGTAAATGATGGAAAAGATACTTTACCCTAGTGGCAGCTAGCACAGGGAAAATGAGAGGCATTCCAGCCAGCTTTCTGGGAATGACTGGGACGGGTGGCGTCGTCCTGTAATCCAGCTACTAGGAGGTCACGAATTTTGGATATTTATAGGCCTGCACTGTAGATGTGATACTCCCTCGTGTGGATTAACGTCCGCACGAGTGAGTACTACAACTATCCGCAGTACTATCCTGATAATTAGACCAATTTGTATATAACAAGGCAAAAATGTGGTTCCGATTCCACTATAAACTGTAGATCCTTTAGTTGCCGGGCTATTAATTAACAGCTGTGTCTAAGGAATGTCGGCCTTAGTCACTGGAAAGACTACAAGATCGCGCCACTCATCCTACACTCATCTCCATTCATACTTGGCTTAAAATACCTACTTTGTATGGTCGCCATTTAATAAGAAAGTATTAAAAGTATTGAAGTATATTTCTCCTTGTCTAAATGCTTTGCTGTACAGTCAACACAGGTCAGTACCAGATGGCAAATTGTGAATATATGTCATCTTTGGGAAGTGTCAGTGCACATTTGCAACCCAATAGTTGGTTGCTCAGGTGGCGACTGTGCTGTGTTATTAGGCGTCACTGCCTTTTGGTAGCGGTTGTTTTCACGATGACGCCGCCCGGCTGTTTCGTTGCCGTCGCGTAGGAGGCATTAAAAAAATTTAACAAATTGAAGCAATTATCACGCCTACAAAATCCGTCTTGGTAGTTTTTTTTTGTTTTTTTTTTCAAAACTAAGCAAATCTCAGATGTTTTCTAGCTCATCAAAGCTAGCTACCAAAACTAAGCAAAATAACCCTGTATTGGGATTCTCTAAATGTGATGTGGAAAGCAAAATAGGGACCTCTTGTCGGCAATTTTTGATTTTGAGTTATATATATATATATATATATATTTGAATTCCTTATTATATTCCGAATCACTTGTTGCAAGTCCCATGCATCAAAAGTTTTTTTTTTTAGTTATAGGACTTTGAAATTTTGATATGGAAAAGGGTCATTTTAAGAAAAACTAATTTGAAAATTTCAAATACACATAAAAACAGTTTTTTTGTGTATTTAAGGAACGATTTTGGTATAAAAAAAGCTTATAATGTCCTCTTTGGAGGCAGTACCAATTTTTGTCTTAACTCAAGGTAGTTTTCATTTAAATAAGTGTTTTATCGAAGCATGTTGTAAAAATCACATTTCAGAAAAGGGACCTCTTGTCGGCCCTATGTTAATTCTCCATAAGATAAGAAAAGGTACCTCTTGTCGGTACCGCAAAATTTGTGGAACTTTGTTGTAGTTCTCAAAATTTCCACTAGAATGCAGGACAATTTATTTTTTGTACTAAAGTCTGTTTATAAAGTGAATATGACCTCTTGTCGTTATGGTGAAATAACATTGAACGACAATGTATATGTAAAGAGGTACCTTTTCTCAGACCGTGCAGAGGCTAACAAAATGATTTATGTAGACCTTTTACATCTTCAATTTGATATTTTAACCGATATTGTCCTGTTCTATTCTATGTTAAATGAGGTATAACAATCGATAAACATTTTTTTGACAATTTCAACCTTAATTACTTATATCGGTTGTACTGAAAATTTTGTTTTGCCGACAAGAGGTCCCTTTTCGCTTTCCACATCACATATTATGCTTATCTAAATGTTGTCAATAATGTCTGAAAACTGTATGAATGATTAAACAAAATAAGACTACAGCTGATTTACTAAACAAATGTGAGATAGCTATGTGTTAACATCTGTTTTCAAGTAAACAAACTAATTCTCATAAAAATAGTATAGGCAAAATTTGACTCTTTGATGCGATATTCCTCATGACCACAGTGACTTTTATGACGTGAATGGTCAAAATGATCAACATCATTTCATATTTATATTAAGTTTTTTTTTTAAGTTATCTATCCGTCACAGACACATATCCCAATTATCCTGCATAGTTTCTTTGAAAAAATGCATACTTACTCATTCGTATTCAATTATCATCAGGCAAATTATGATCAGTTCTAGGCAAATTTTATGAAACAACTGTACACTTTATCCGTTGTAGGAAATTTGATAAATAATAGTTTAATAACAATAAAAAAATTGTTTTTACACAACAATAAGGCTGAAGGCAGCTTCATTTTCTTCAATTTCCAGTGATGATTGAAAACCATTGAAGTTCTGAAATTCATTAATGTTCTCGAACAAAATTGAACTATTGGTAACAAAGACTGTCCACCATGTCATTTCCCTATGACATCAAAAAAGGTAAATTAAGTAACGAATTGGCGTAGGCCATGGGTTTGACGTTGGGATGAGGCTGAAACAAGAAAAAAAGGTTATTATAAATTATATTTTATTAGGACTATAAATATTAAATTATATTATATAAATTATATTAGACCTATTATAAAATGTCAATTAGTGATGGGTCGGTACTTAACGTCAAATGTCGGTTTCACCGGTTCTTGGGAAAGGTACTGGGACCGAGAATCGATGGTGAAATGTGTCGGTACCAAGTTAATTGGTTATATTTTTATTTACTCATTTACAAAATTCAAATTGCAAACCATAAGGCTATTTGAAAGGGGATATTTATCATGAAATATTGTCAATAGTAGGCTAAGATTAGTGGTGCAAACATCGACTGCAATTGCTCCACCATATTCAAGCAAAAGACAGATGGTGAGCTTAATAAAGACTGGATCAATTGATGGTTTATTTGGACTCAACAAAATTATTACACTACCTTAATACCATCCTTTCCTTATCTGAGGTTGATTAATAGTAACATTAATAATAGTTACAATTTACAGTATTATTTTATTTCATTCATACAGTTCTTTATTGTACTTTGTTTTGCAAGACCTATGGAAATACAGAAGCAACATAAATAGCGCTGACTCGAACCTCAAACTCATTCCAGTTCACTCTAACTGTTTGACTTAGTCCAGTCCAGTCAGCGGCTGAATTCATATTTTTAAGCCTAATGGTTAAATGTTGGGTTATTCATGATTTGGACGAATCTATATCTATATCTATATCTATATATATATATATAATACGTGAAGCCGTTTTTTGTTAACGCAACTCCTCCCTTATTTGTGGACCAATTATATAACGTTTGAGGTGTCAAAAGATTTGTCTCAATATGTAGTTTTGCAATAAGGTTTTAGAATTCTAAAATTCCTGCCCTTAAGAGCGCGAGGCCCACTCAAAGGTCGGGTTTTCCCCATAAGAAATACATAGAACAAATTTAAAACAAAAAAACAGCTGTTTATAAGAAGCTATAGCTTTTTGGGAGTAAATATTGATGTTTGTAATATTTAGTAGGTTAAGACCAAGTTAAACAGTTCAAATCAGTTTTGTTGGAAGAACAGAAAATGCCTCAAGTTCAAAGAAGAAATATTGAACACGGTAGTAGGAAACAATTAATAATAAGATATTTTGTGCGTATGAGGAGAGTAGAAAAAGAGAGACCTGGTCTAACAGATACCCATCCAGATACATATTCACTTTGTGAGATGAATAATATTTCCCAGTTCTGCTATGCAACTTACTTTGGAAGTGAAAAAATATGCGAAGCTCATAGTGTTGTCACGGTGGGAAAGTAAACTTGCCTAAATGTCAGATCAAATGAATGCATGCAAGAAATGTTTACTTCAGACACTGACAGATCGAGATATTTCAAAACATTTTGTTAAAATTACGTTAACCAACTTTCAATGGTGTTGCTGCTTTAGCCTATTCAAAGCAGGTTATGGCTGTCCAGTTGGTAACCCCGAGTTTGTGGGTAAAAAATGGAGCACATGAAATGGTTGACATCACCCCACTTTTCAGGTTACTCTACGGAGAAAATTCGTTTGATCGGGGGATGTCTCAAATCAAAGGAATGAAATGGCCCAACTTTAATTACTTAAGAAAGGTTATCAGTACGGTAACAGTGTTCTTCAATTCTCAATGCTGGAAAAACTTTGTTGCAACATATTAACTCGAATTGAGGCAGATCGTTTAGCATTCATTAGAAGTTATCAGTTAAAATTGTGAGCAGAAATGATGTAGGTGAACCTTGGTGAGGCCATTAGAAATATTTAAAATTAGTTTCTAACAAGTTTTCAAATAACTCTAAGATGTAACTAAAGTTACTAGAATTTAAGCATAAGGTTTTCCTTGGCGTTATGTTTCATACTAGGCAGCTCATTGAGCCGCACGGGTTCCTTAGTCATATTATATTGCATTCGATCTGTAACCAAAGTGACAAATGGCAACACTGCACATTGCGCTAGACTACTATTTTAAATTTCAAGTTCGGTAAAGTTTATTTATTGATGGTCTGACAGTGAATTTCAAATTTCCCGTCAGATAATCAAATCTTAGGACGGTCGTCGAGTCCAGCAAGCGCCACCGGGTTATCACTACCCTCCCTCTCCCCCGCCACAAGTCGGAGGGACACGGACGCCTCGATGAAGTGACCGAGGCAGTCTGTATCGTACCGCCTAGTGTTAAATCAGTGTTAAGTTACCGAGTGTACATGTGTGACAAGGCAGCTGAGATGACCATCGGGCTTGGAAACCCTCCCAATTGGGTAAGAACCCATCCAACAGATTCAGAATCGATTAATTTGTGTGATTTGTATTTGTCTTGGGTTTTTTTCAAAATTATCACCAATTTAGTCATTAACTCTCGGTTAGAGGCAAATGTCTCTCACCTCGAGGCTTTAAATCCATTTAGAAATTTTACACCATATAATCGAGAGGAGGAATCTATCTGTTTTGTCGGTTCGATTATAAAAAAGGCCCTATTAATTTCAAGTAATAAATCATTTTGGTTAGGTTTTTGTAAAGTGAAAAGTTAGTACAATTTTATTTCGGAGTGTACCATTTTGTTGTTCTGTAGGTTAAGGGAGGATAAAGTATGATTTCATTTTCAGAGAGTGTTATTGTATCAGGTATTCCTCAGTTTGAGGTTCCCTTTAGAATCGCGATTCAATATTAGTGGTATTCTATTAACTCAAGATGTGTGTAGTTTATTAAGTTGTATATTGTGTTCCGTGTGGGGTACTTATCTCACATGGCGACACATTTACAGAGAGTGTTATTTTATCAAATATTCTTCAATTTAAAGCCCCTTTTTGACTGTGATCTTATTTTCATAGTTTAAAGTCCTACGAAGAGTGTAGATAAAGTGTTACGTTACGCGTAATATTCCGTGTGGGGTATATATCTCACATAGCGATATTACCGTACGTTTGAGAATAGTTCTCTGAGCAAAATTATCTTCGTAGGCGTTTAAGTCGTAAGTTCGAGCTAATTTTCCGTCAATATTTTGATTCGAAGTGCGGTGGTCTTTTGGGTATTTTTTTACAAGTTAATCTGCGTGAGGCACTTGTCTCGCGCGTCGGTAATACATCCAATGTAATTACACCCGCCCTCAAATTAATTCACGTATCACGTCTTACGGGGCACTTGTCTCGTGCGACGCAATTTGTAAATATTATTTTTTAGAATATCGGGAGGGGCATCACTCTCTTTACCCACGAAATCAAGTTTATCGTTATTTCTGTAAATGTACCGATCCCTTGCGTACCTGTTAACTTGAGATATCGTATTACATGTATCAAAGTGCTACGATTCGCCCATGAGGTGTGAAGTGTGTATGTGTAGATTTGGCGCGAGAAAGAAGCGTGTTTCGACAAACTGCAAATGGTTATGATTGAGTGTCGTTTAAACAAAATACCCCTGGCGCAGCAAACCTGCAGACTGAGCGAATTTCAACTTGTCTGATTACATTTTTGCTCAAATATTTCCATAAATAAGGCATATTTATTCCCTATTTAAACTAGGGTTGCTTTCAGAGAGGTGAAAGCCAGTTGAGCGGAACAAGCGTGATTTGATATTTGTATAAGTAACTAAATGTAAAAAAGTCAATCTACGTACTAATGCTTGTTTTATTGATTAAAATTACAATAATTCAAATTTGTTTTTACTAAATTTTGTTATTCAGATACCTCTTCCAGAAGTGCATTATGGTAGTTTTGACCAGGAAAATATTACAGTAGTTGGAATCTGATATTAACATCCAAAAAGGGCATTAAAGTATAAAAAAGAGAAAGGAAATTTAACATTCAAATTCAACTGTAGCCTACAACAAAAACATTGGACTTCATTTTTCACCCTTACAATCGGTTAAAGTATTTAAGTATAAAACGAGTATTAAAGTGTAACAACAGGAGGGGAAATTTGACACTTAAATTAAACTGTGCAACATAAAAATTGGTCTTCATTTCAACAATTGTAATTGGTTAAACTCAGCTTTCTTTGGTGGAAATAATTTATGATTGTTAATACCAAGTATTCTTGATGGAGGATATGATTGTAATATAACTGGAATGTAGGTCTTCTACCATTATTAGGACGATTTAGAGATGGCATTTTAATACTGGCCTTAATAAAACCATTGGCCATTGGATACAGAATATTTTGATGAAAAATCTAGTAGCTACAAATTTAACATGGGGGTGGAATGTCTAGTTGTATTGATAGTCAAAAGATAAAACATAGGCCTACAAAAAATGTACGGCTATTTTAATGTAAGACTCAAATGTAAAACACCTTTAAAAGACTAAAATGATCTGAATTATCAATCATGTATTTCAATGTGTAAAAACGTAAAAACTGCAAAAAGAAAACACAAGTAATAAGTAAACATCGCATTCAGCTGATTTAAGTGAAAACAGAATAATAATAAGAAGGGAAGACTGTTGAGATTTAGTAATATCTCTAATCATGTTTCTAACAGACTGTGTTTAATATTAATTTATTGTTTATTAACAGATGATTTGTTAGTGTTCAAGTTGAATTCGAATAAACAACATCATTCAGGTTTTTGTTAAAATAATTTTTTATAGTTTTCTAGTTAGTGATAATTTGTAGATTCTCGGAATATTCAACATGGTAGCAGAAGCCCGTGGTTCGAATTCGTTAACTAATTTCATCTTTGTCTTGAGTCAATGTTAATTTATTTTGCAAAAGTCAAAATTAAATATTTGTGTTGTTTGTAAACCTCTTCAAGATTATTTGTTAGTAAATATAAATAATGGAGTTTACCAAACTGCAAGTAGGACTTTTTGATGGCAAAAATTGGTCAACTTGGAAATATAAAATATGCACACTTCTAAGAAGCATACCAAAAGCGTTGGATGTTGTGGAGGGGAATCTGCAAATGCCCAAGGAGCTGAATCCAGGAGCAATAGAACAGGAGAAGGCTAGGTATGATTTAGATGTAGCTAATTTTACCAAGGCTGACAGCATGGCACTGATA